CACTACATAGCGCTGGCTGGCCTTGAACTCACAGCTATTCTCCTGCCTCTGCCTCCTGAGTGCTGGGATTAACAGGCTTCCAGCTAGAAACACACAGTATTCTATTTGGCTTACAGGAAACTAAAATCTCCTCATTCCCTTCCAACTTAATTGATTTTTCCTTCCCACTCGCTTTGCTCATTTTTTCTCTTAAATTTGGAGTATTCCTTGGCCCCAACCCTTAAATTTCTTTTTCTACACTCCCTGCGCTGTAACTTTATCAGTCTCGTGATTCAAAGTCTACCTGTATAATGGCTCCTAAATTTATTTCTTGTGGACATCTCCCCTGATTTCATGCATATCTTCCCAACTTTACCTCCTGGATGTCACCACAGACAGCAACTCAACATACCCAAAACTGGGCTCCTGATTTCCTGTCTCTTCCTACATGTGCCCCTCCTGGAGTTTTCTTCATCTCAGCTGATGCCACTGTCATCCTGTCACTTGGCTCAGATCCAGAACCTGGGCAACATCTGAGTCCCCCTTTCCTCTCAAGGTTTACATACAATTCACAGTAAAATTAACATACTCTTATCTTCAAATTAAACCTTGAATTCAATTTTTTCCCTTTTTTTAGAACCACTGGTCCCAAACCATCATTCTCTACTCCTTGATCACTGTAATAATACAACTGTTTTTTTTTTTTTTTTTTTTTTTGTGGTATGGAGGATTGAACCCAGGACCTGGGTGCTGAACTAACATCCCTAGCCTTATTTTTTATGTTAAGACAGGGTCCCAATAAGATTGCCAAGTCACCTATGCTTGCCTCCAGTATATTACTGTATGTGCCACCAAAGAAAGCACACTCCAGTGTATTATTGGTGCAGCAGCCAGAGTGGTCAGTTTTTTGGGGGGGCAGGGGGGGGGGTTGAGACAGGGTCTCACTATGCAGTTCAGGCTGGCCTTGGGATCACTTTGTAGCCCAGGCTGGTCTCAAACTCATAATGATCTTCCTGCCTCAGCCTCTGGAGTGCTGAGATTACAGGAATGCCCCACCATACCTGGCCCGAGTGGTCTTATTAAATCATTCCATTTCTCTGCTCAAAATTGTCCAAAGGCTTTTATTTTCACTCAAAGCCAAAGTTCTTACGCTGATTACAAAGCCTCCCATAGTCTTGGGCCTCAGCCTTTTGCTTTTTTTTGAGACAGGGTCTCCCGATGTAGTCCAAGCTGGCCTCAAATACAGATGTGTAGCACAAAATGGCCTTGAACTTGCAATGATCTCTTGCCTTAGCCTTCTAGAGTACTGGGATTACTGGGCTTCACTTTTCCTTACCAGTTATTGTCACATCTTAGGTACACAGTCTTCCTTGGTGTTAAACATGTTGGTTCTTTCTATCTCAGGTCTACTTTGCTCTTGCTATTTACTTTGGCAACTTTATTTCTGAACTATCTCCTTCTAAGTGGGGCCATCCTTGACTGTCCTTAAAAGCTGCAACCCTCTCCTATCTATCCCTTTCATTGTGCTATTTTTCTCCATAGTACTTTTCATGGTCTAATAAAACTATGATGGAACACTAGCTCCCTAAGGGCAGGTATTTTGGCATGTTTTGTACATTACTGCACACCTAATACAATTCCTGCTACATTGCAGGAACTTAGTCAGTACATTTTTGTTGAGTAAGTATGAGATGTCTGGAATAAGGCCTAAAAGCATACATGGACTAAAGCAGATTGAAGAGGAAGGGAGTCATCTAGGGAGAGGAAAGAAAGGGTCTAAGGAAAACTATAAAGAAAAAACTATCCTAAACCTAGTCTGGGAGAACATTTTTGTATACCATTAACTCATTACTTCCTTCTGGGGGGAAAGTTATTCCTGATAAGAATTTTACAATTAACGAGATTAAGACGTTTTAGAAGCTAATCTCTCATCCACCTAGACGCCTGTCAGATATACTCGCCTTCTGTAGTGAGTCAACAATAATTGTCTAACCCTTCTTTTCCTATACTGTAAGTCCTTTTTCCAAGTTAAACTTCAAGCAGTGCTCATGCCATTTTCATCCATTAAAACAGTAAACCATACTGAAACATATTCACACTAGATGGAAATTTAAAAAGGTTTTTAAACAGACTCTAATACTTTAATTTACACAATATATTTTAAAATTATCTGTAAATATATATTTAGGTTATGTTTATGTTACTGACATGAAAATTCAAGAAAGAATTCACAGCATATTTGCCCTTTAATAAATTGCTGTTATTTATTGGTTAGTATTTAAAACTCCCACGTCTATATTGATAAGTAAAAATTACATACACATTTCCTTTTGCTATGATCAGAGCTCTTCTTGAAGCTCAAAGGACACCAGGTTACAATCTCCACCAAAAGAAAATAAACCCCTGTTGCTGGGCCTCACGGGAAATGTAGTCTCAGTGACTTGCCCCCAGAGGCTCTTGGGAAGCCTGGAGTAGCGCTTCTTTGGCACATGCGCAATGGGGAGACCCGGAAGTTCTCTGTTCTCGGTGTGCTTGACGTGAAGGGTTTGGGGTTGATTTAAAAAGGACAAGACCGTTTCTTGGTGCTTAGCAAAGGAGTAAATTTTTAGGTAACTCCCGATGCAGAGTAATTTGTCACCTAGAAATCCGGGTAATGACAGAGCTGCCCACTCTGGCGGGGGTTGACGACTCAGTCTGCAGTGCTGTTGTAGATATATAACATAGTAGGTATGCAATGGGGAGTCCAGAAATCTGGGCTAAACTGTACTTCACCTCATTCCGGGAACCTTTTGGCTTTCAGAGGGCAGGAAACCTCTGCAAGAGGAAGAAAACCAATTTATCTAGCACTAGATCCTGTTAAGCGCTTTTGAAAGAAGTTGGCATTTATTTCGGTTACTCTTAAGTCTCATGTTTTTTGCAGAGAAACATGCAGTTATCTGCTTCAAATCACATAGTAAGTGGGAAAAAGATAGTATTCAGACTTCGTTTTCTTTTCAAAAGTTTATTCTATTGACAACATAGCACTCGCTTAAAATTTTCTTTGGGAGGAGTGAAAGCTAAGTGAATTTACGATTGTTTTTGAGAGAACTCTTGGTGTCTTTGTAAGAAGAACCTGAAGGTCTGTCTTGCATTGGCCAGCCTCGTGTCAGTTTCCAGAAGCCCTGGTTAAGAATCTACCAGTGGCCAACCAGGTTCCACAGGTGATGGTGAATTCACAGAACTGGGGCCCAACCTTAAGTTTCCAGTTGAAGGAGTGTTACTTCTTTATGAGTCATCTTTTCTTCTTTCTTTGGTGGAGGTGAGGTAGGGGACGTCTTTTGTGGGAAAATGATCACTCCTATATCACGGACCTTGCCAAGATTCCTGACCGCCTGTAGGAAGGGTACAGTGAAAGGATGAAGTAAGAAATCACTGCCTTAGGATGGGCAGAGACAAAGACATTCGAAGCCAGCCACTATTTGTGGGGTGTTTACAACGATAGGGTTTAGTGGAAGACTCAGGTTGGAGGAAGACTCAAAGGCTGATTACTCAACGGGCATTGGGCAATTTGGGATGATGCAAGAGGGTAGAGATGATTTTTTGCTAAGAAGGATCTTGCCCTGGAGTGTTTTTTAATCTTAATAGTTTCCATTTTAGTCTTGGTGGGGGAGGATGGTCCATCCCTAAAGAGATAATGGCAAATCTCAAAAGGGTGATGCTAATAATCTCAAACCTCGATTTATCCCTTAGGGAAATATTCAGGATTAACTGTTATAAATTTGTGGTCCCCAACAATCCTAAAAGGAGGTTTTCCTGATTTGGGATTTTAAAAAAATCCTACTTCAGGGCAGGGACAAGAACCAACTCCTCTCTCCTATCTAAAGAGACTAGGATTTGACTCAGTTACATCCCAGGTTCAAGGAGGCATTGTCACAGAAGTTTGGAGAGGTGAGAATTCAGAAGACTGGAGGATGTGGATCACTATGGTCAGGCTCCACAGGGAAAGGAATCTAAGTGGAGAATGAGTATGATGATAATGAAGAATTAAAATCTACTATGGAAGAAATTCACCTTCCCTAATCTCTCTCCCTCTCACCTGGACTCTCACAAATACCATATTAACACCAGTACATGCTCTTCATGTCCCATTGGTTCTTTTAAGATCAGGCTGGTTCCGTATGTTTCAGTTGTCACACTTGGCTTTTAGAAATGTACTGATTCCTGATACTTTCTCTCCCTTTACCTAAATGCAGACGTTATTTACAGAATTGTGATCTGGTAGCGGTAGAAGGAATTTTTGAGGTTTTCTGATTCTGCTGCTTCCTTATAGGGAGGAAAAAAACTAGCACTGAGCTAGTAACTGAGTACCTAGAGAATGTTACAGCATGTTGCTGGATAAATCAGGCCTAAGTATTTTTCATTTCCCAGATTAGCATTTTTCTTGTTTTCCCATTGAGTTGAGCCAAAGTTGTTTACTCTAGAAAGAAGTGAACCAACAATAAAAGCAGTTCATCCATTAATCCATTCAGCAGATACTTGCTGTATAGACCAAGGACTGTTGTGGTGCCTGGTATGCCTCAATGAGCAGAGCACAGTCCTTGCTTTTCCTGGAAAGAGATTAAAAATCGAATAAACAAATATAATCTATTACTTGATAATGAGTACTCTGGAGAAAAGTAAAACTAGACTGAAGTTTTGATGGATTGGGGAGAATTATTTCATATGAGGCAGTGTAAGCAGAGATGTAAAGGAATTTAGATGGTAAGCCATTTAGTGTCTGGCATACCTTGGGGGACATACACAAGTCTGAGTATAAAAGGCTGATGTGTGGAGTAACAGCAAAGAAAATGGAGAGCTGATCAGAGTGGACAGTGCGGAACAACTGGAAGACTGAGATAAAGGCACAAATGGGGAATAAGCTGGTATCAGGCCTTGTGGACTTTTTTTGAAGTAATTTTTTTTTTTTTTTTTTTTTTTTTGCAGAGTGGGTGGCTAGGCTACTGTTATGTAGTTCAGGCTGGCCTCAAACTGACTGTACTCCTGCTTCATCCTTTCCGGGATTATAGGTGTGCACCACCATATTTGGTTGTTACGTATATTTTAATGTCCTTTTTTTTAAACCCCAGAATATGAGTGGAACCTGTTTTTGTAACATCCTTGTATCCTTGTATGGCATCCTTTTTTTAAAAAAAAAATGATCTTCACAACTTTTCCAAACTACTACATATGACTATTTCAGTAAAATCTTAAAGACTTTTTTCCAGTTCTGGGGATTTAACTCAGGATCTAGGGCCTTACACATGGTAGACAAGTGCTCTATACTGAGCTATTGACTCCAGCCCAAGGGATTATTTTTTGAAAAGAGATTTAAAGTTTATATTCAGATTATAATATGCTAATAATAGAAACTATTGCTATTATAGGTCTGTGGTACCATTTTCAATGATTTCTTAGTACTCTTTGACTAAATCATGTTTTTTGAAAAATTAATAGGCTATTAATGGACTTTTAAATTATAAATGTTTTCATATTATAAGCAGTTTTGTAAAAACATTACTTATCTCTTTTTTCAAAATAATAACCAGTTTTACTGAAAGGTATTTAATTCTCAAATCCTATGGTGTGTACCATTATTGTCACCATTTTGCAGATAAAACAGGTACAGAGTACTCAACTTTCTCAGGATCACACTGTTAGAGGAATAACAGAATTTGTACCCCTACCGTCTGGCTCAGTAGCCCAGGCTTTTGATCTTTGTACATATTCATCCATTTTTATTTCTTTAGGATAAATTTCTGGGATAAAAGAAATCACTAGATCACAAGCTAACAATAAATTGTAATAGATCAATGGGGCAGAAATGTACATATCTCCTGAAGACAGAACATCCTGTGCAATTTTATGATTGTAAAAGAGTCACAAGTGGACAAGTTGGTGCTTTCAGAACATGAATTTACTTGGTTTGTTTAAAGGTCATTATTCCTCCAAAAGCCTTTTCTAGAAAAATTTTTTTAATCGGTAGCAGGTATCAAACTCATGACCACACGCTTGCAAGGCATGCTAGATCCCTGGCCCCAAAAGCCTTTTCTATAACAAGCAGATGGTTCAAAAGGCAGGGAACTCACTCTATTCTTGTTTTCATGGTCTGTTTCCTTTTTGCTTTCTTTCTTTTTTTCTTTTTTTTTTTTTTTTTGGTGCCAAGAATTGAACTCATGATCTTGTGCTTGCCAGACTGGTGCTTATGCCACTTAGCTAAATCCCCAGCACCCAACAAAGTAGTCTTTTTATGCTTCTGCCTTCCAAATGGAGATGGTCCTTTTCTGTTCTAGTCTATTTGTGACCCTTTAAAAGCTTTGAGCCTCAAGAAGGCAGACCTGAGTTGTCAGATACTTGTTTGCCCACACTTTGTCCCCACATCTGTGTTGTTTTTCTGTAAGCAGAGCATCCAGTTACCAAAACAGATGTGACCTTCAAAGTAGAGCAAGGACAAGAGCTATGGAAGGTAGAAAAAGAGAATCTATGTTGCAGTTATACAGGTAAGTATGAGAAATATCAAATAGAAATTTTTGGAGCCCAAAAGTCTAAAGTATGAGACCTTTAGCTTTGTTCTTTATCTAGATTGTTTTGGGTCTTTGCGGTCCTTTGTGGTTCCATATGAATTTCAAGGTTGCATTTTCTATTTCTGCAAAAATGCTATTGAAATTTTGACAGGATTGAATTGTATCTGTAGATCACCTTGGGTAGTACAGACATTTAAGCAACATTAAGATTTATCCACAAGCATAGGTTGTCATCTCAGGTTTTTTTGTGTCATTTTTAATTTTTTCAGCAAAGTTTTTGTTACAGAAGTTTTCCAATTCCTTGGTTAATTCTTAAGTATTTTATTCTTTTTGATGTGACTTTATTTTGTTTTGTTTTAGTTATCAGGTATCAAACTCAGGACCTTGCATTTTCCAGGCAGGCACTTATGCCACTGAACTGTATCTCCAACCTTTATTTATTTTTTGAGATGGGGTCTTGTCACGTAGTCCAGGCTGGCCTTGAACTCACTGTGTAGGTCAAGCTTGTCTTGAACTCACAGTGATCCTTCTACCTTAGCCTCTGAGTGCTGGAATTACAGGCGTGCATTACCCTGTCTGGAAATTTCTTTCTATAGCATTTTAGAAAGAATAACTGGGAATTTTTCATTTTATTCTTTTTTACAAGTTGTCTGCCTACTTGATGAGCTAGAGAAAAAGAAAGGAAACAAAGAAGGTTTTGAACCAGGATACGTTTACCCTCCTGAAAACATCAACAAGGAAGTCCAAAACTGGAGCATGAGTAGTATTTCTTCAAGACAAAAACAACATAAAGGGAATCAAATGGAAATACTTTGCAATCTGATTTATGCTTCCTTAATTAAAGTAAGAGGTATTATGGAGAAAATTGTTATGAGCATGAAGAATATAGAAATGTCTTCCAAAACATTTATCATTTCATTAGATCTGAAAAAATATTCACAATGTAACAAAGATTTGAATGTAGTCAAGGTAGGAGAGCCTTAAAAAAGGAATCTTGTCCCATCAGACATGAAAAAAGGCAGACAAGTAGAAAACAGGCCTTTGAATGCAATGACTGTGGAAAAATAAGAGGGGACACTTTGTAGCTTATCAAAAAGTTCACAGTAGAAAAAGATCCTTTTTCTACCTGTGAAGGGGGGGGCCTGTGCTTTGCGTTTCTTTGAAAGCGATTTTCCTGTGTTTTGTTTATTTGTGTGTTTGTGTTCACAGTCGTGGGTGTGTGGGTGTGGGGTTTACTAGTTGTTTTTCGTTCCAGAATGATGTGAGCAAAAAGGAACAGAGATGGGGCTCCAAAACCCTGCAAGGGTCCAGGCACCAGGAACACATCAAGTAAGAGCCTCTGCAATGCTGTCGCGAATGGGGGCCCCTCCGCACACTCAACTAGTGGGTCTTCCGCAGGATGGGAACAGGCCCCAGCAGGGACATCTACTGCTGACAGCTGAAGGGGCCAATCAGGCGTCAGAGTTGCTTTTGCTTATGGTATTGACCTGGTGTTCATACAGCAGATGAATGAATATAAGTCGTGGCACCTAGATTTAATGCATGCTTTTATGTATATGTGCTTACACGTGTAATTGGCCACCAAGTTAAAATGTCCACAATAGACAAGTTTCCTCACTTACAGTTCTGGGACTCCTGCTTCTGCATCTGGTGATTTTCATCAGGGCCCACGGTTGCCTAAGTTCTTTCTCTAAATAGGAGGCTTCTCAACTGTGAGATGTCATTGGATACTTTAGATCTTAAACACCCTCCTTCCTTTGATTATTATTATTACTATTTTTTCCTCCTTTTTATTATTGTCTGAAAATTATGGTGCTTTGCAGGATTTAGTCACTGGGGTGTTTGAACTGAATTCCAGGCTTTGAGAAAAGCCTAGAATAGGATACAGCGAGCTGTATCATCATTTCTGATCTGGCACTATCTGAAATGCCAGCTCTGGGCAGCTTGTTTTCTCTCAAGAAGCGATGATAAAAGGGCCTTTAAAATCATGCGCAGAGGTTGGTTTTAGGCCACACTGGTCAGGATTGGTTGTCCCTGTCCTGTATTGTAAAGGCAGCACTGCTGACCTGGTGACCTGCTTTGAAACATGGGGAATGTTCCTGTCTTACTTGGCCACAGTATCTGGTAGAGGAGGATACAGTAAATCACCTGGAACAACAGAGTCTACATGGTGACATTTTAGAATATCACCTTTTATTTTTTGTATTTTTTTAATGAAACAAATTCTTACCATGTTGCTTAGGCTGGACTCAAATTTAGTCTTAAGTGTTGGTCCCTCCTGGGCTTGCCCAGCCCACGTTTCCCACAGAACTGAGTTGAGAAGTCAGAAAGCTAGGAGAGGGGATGAAATGGTCCTGGCAGGAACACCTGCCCCAAGTTGGTTAGGTCATCTGGACCTCTTCTGTTCTTGGTGGCCTCAGCCTGTTGGGCAGGGAGTATGGACTGTCTGGGATTGCAGCATCTGGATGAATTAAGGTTCCATGAGGAAAGTGTGGGGATGGGATCATTTTTGGCACCCTGCGGCTCTTCCCAGAGTTCTGGAGAGGCTCTTCTTCTCTTGTTCATGGAGGGTCAGTTAGTTTCCAGGCCTGGTATGTATTTTAGCCACATTCTTGTGATGATTGTCTTTGTGTTGATGGTGTGGGCCTTGTGTCTTCTGGGCAGAAGGGCTCTATGCCCAGGTAGCTGTTGTGCTGCTCTGGGTTCTCATGGTGACAGCTCTTTCCTGGCTTGCCAGATTTTGACTAAATCTTGTGATGTGCCTCCTGCCTTTCTGTATTTAAAATAAAAAGTGGCTCTTAGGTGATAAATTCTGAATGTCTGTCTTGACAGGTATACAATGCTTGAGTACCTCAAATAAAGACAGACTGTCATAGGTATCCTTGGTGGCCTTGGAGATCTGGAGGAAGGGACCTTGACTTTATCCCCCCTTCTGCCTCCTGATGGTGTTTGTAGGACTTGTGTTCCTAACCCATTTGTCTACTAAAATTAGCGGCCTTTCTCCAAATGAAATGGAGTTCAAGTTTTAGCTGGGTACCTTTGGGGTGGAGTTGGATGAGACCATGGTGTGCATTTGGTACAGCGTTCCTCCTTCCATCCATTTCCGCGCAAGAACCGCTGAAGTGGGTGCCCCAGCTTCAGGATAGTCAGGAACATACATAGAAGGTAGGCAGTTGATCAGCACCAAAAAAAGAAAGCTTTCAAGTTTGCAGAGGTGATGTTGCCTGTCTTTATTTATCCTATTGCAAAACAAGGATGCACATCCATTTCAGAGTTTTTTTCTTTCTGCTCTTACCTTTCTTCTCAAGCATATACAAGATAAGAGAAAACGTCTTTCAAGAACATCACACTCTCAAGGAGAAGGAACTTCAAACAGGACCAAAAGCCTCCCATGGCTATGGAGGGAAATTCTGCGTGGAACAGTACAGCATGGACAAAGTAAGTGGGCGACGGCTGTCTGTGCTGGGTCCCTGGCTGTGTGGGCTGCTTGTGGTGGGCCATGTAGTCCTTACGTTTTTCCTTAGATTAAATGTGTCAAGGTGGTTTGTCAGGGGTGAGATCTGTTCACAGTGGGTCTCTGTCAACTGACCCCACTCACTAAACTCTCTGGCTTTTGGAAGTTCCCAGAGGTGCTGGCGAATGGTAGAGAGACCCTAAGGGGAGATTAGCTGGACTTTGTAAATGGGACAAAGTCCAGAAACAACTGAGCTGCAGATGTCCTAGTCAGCCCTACCTGTGTTTCCAGCTTATGGCCCAAGTTGTACCATTCCGTAGAGTAACCATACCTGTGGGCCCCTCATCACATCATTCCTGGAAATTGTGCTAGCATGTAGCTGACGTCCCATGTGGCTTTACTGACCTCTGCATGTAGCATCAGCACCAACCAGGTGGCTTCTGTGAGCAGTCAGTGATGGGACCAGGCTGCCAACACCGAGCAGATGCTCATGGCAGCTGCTGATGAGCACAGCCACCTTTATGGCACTGAACATTGTTCCACCTAAGAGCAGGCGAGTGTTGGCTCGAGACAGCTGGCTGGTTTCTCCCTGGAGAATAAACAGTGCAGATAGCAGCACGTCTGTCTTGTTTGCATGTCTGCCGTAAAGCAGGGCAGACTTCTGCAGACACCCTTGCAGCAGTGAATTTTCAGGTCTGAGCAACTTGGTGTTGTTCAGACCGGACTGATGTGTTGCCCGCACTGTGGACAGAGGTGAAAGGATCAGCTGGCATTAGATTCTGGTGGGTAATTCCATACCTCTCCTCCTGTTGCATGCATCGAATTAAACATCTGAAGCTGGAGGCTGACTAGGTGCCATCTGCAGGAAAGAGACATGGACATTTGCTGTGTCACTTGTGCTTGTTCCACAGAGATGTCCTAATGGTGAAATAGATAGTGTGTGCAAAAGAATCTCCCTGGGGCTCTGGATACGAGTCTGGTAGCCTTTCAGAGCAGCAGAGCAAAGTGGCAGACAGAACCTTCCATCAAGTAGGTGGCTAGGCTTGTGCTCACTGGAGGTCATGGGGTGTTAGTGCAAAAAGAGGCTGACTATATCGGGCCCCAAGTTAGGGTTAAGGAAAATGATCCCGGTTTATACAGCACAAGTCTGATTTAAAATGATTTCTCTGCTGTTTCTTGGGCTGTGTCTTTTGTTGGCCTGGATCCTGCTTATCCTTGAGCCTCCAACTTGGGCTTTTTCTAGCCGAGAAACTTTCCTAAAGAGCCCATCTCTTCCTTCTGCCTAACTTTCCCACCCTGAGACCCCGCTTCTCCTTCATGCTGGCCTTGGCTTCCCCTTCAGTTGTTGCTGCCACGTTGTGCTGTGGTTTGCAGTGAGACTCTTCTCTGGCCTGGCTTTTCAGGGCCAACACTCATCATTCTCATCTGTGGGTGGCTTGGTGTTGTGCAGGGTGCTCAGGGACATGTGGTGAGTGTGCAGAATCATGCTTTGTGGCTGACACACATACATGCAGGTCCTTACTGGCTCAAAGAATCACTCACTTCTGAGAGGGGCTGATGATAATCCTGCAACAGTGGACCTGGAGAGGGTTGTTGCCTCTGCTGCTTCTTAGTGCTACTGTTCTCTGGGCTTACATGTCTAAGAATATTCAGCTTTCATCTCATGTGAGCACCATGAGACCAGCCTATTTTCAGAAAGAACTGACAGTTAACCTGGGAATAAGTGCTTAAACTCTTTGTAACTTGCCCTGTCTAGAACCTGCATAAATAGTAGTGAGGTCCTTCCTTGTGCAAAGAATTGAGGAACTAGTGACAGGCACTGCCAGAATCATATTTTGAGGAAGCACAGGAGCTGTCGGGGCTCTAGTTGTGCCATTGTCTGAGCACATGGCCAACTTCTTCTGGCTTCCTGTTTCTGTGGTCTCTGCTGCTTCTTATACCTCAGCCTTCAGGGTGGTGCTCCACTAGTACAACTGTGTAATAGCAAGTGTGATTGTGCCAGTAGAAGATTAAAGATGCTTTAGGAGCATGTCTGTTTTAGTCAGAAAGCTGTAGCTGTTGCCAAACATGGTGATCCTGACTGTCTTTTTAGAGTCATTTTCATGTAACTTTCTGAGTTACATGAAGTTATGCTGAAGAATCCCTTTGTCACAGTGGCCTCTCGCCACTCCCTCACTGACATTTTCTGGTTGAGATCCTAGAGGTCATGCATGGGGTATGTTACGGTTTATGTCGAGATGTCCCCCCAGAGCCTCATGCAATCACAGGGTTTGTTTTGGAAGTGACTGTATCTAGAGTGTGTGATGCTGGGTTTAAGGCTGTGTGATACTGGTTGGTTTGACAGCGCCCTAATCCTAGCAGCCTAGAGTGTAAAATGGTCAGAAAGATGCTATTAAGGCTGCTTGCTTGCTGTTGCTATCTTCTGCTGCTCTGAACTTTTGCCCCTGTGCCATGCACAACCCTGTCTCGGAACCAGCTATGGACTGAAACCTCTACAATGTGTGAGCTTTCTTCCTTTAACTTTGGGTGTCAGGTATTTTATCTCAGCAACAAGAAAAATAACTTAAGATTGGCCACCTGCCGAGCCTCACTGATGTGCTGAACACTGCCCAAGTGGCCAGACCCAGCATCTACCAGGTAAACTGGCATAGGTGGTTAAGGTCAGGATGTGTACCAATGGGGCGTGGGCATATGTGTTTGGATGTGTGCGTGTCCTTCCCACACCTGTCACTGTGTTGCCTGTCCTTAGCACCCATGGAGGGGTCCTGGGGAATTATGTACTGTGGGATTAGCTCTGGAAGCCTGGGTCTTAACTGTGCTCAACATCGGGAACCGTTGGGCCCAAGGCAGCATTGTGGTCACACGATCTATCAAGGTGGCTGCACTGGGTAGAAGAATCATAGACACAACCAGAGACACTGTGCTGGTGAAGAGACACAGCTGGGTTCCGAAGAATGTCATTGCTGGAGAGGGCTGCTCTTGAGGCTGGGGTTTGCAGACCTCAAGGTGAAGCATGCCAAAACCCCAGACTCTGCTTCCTTACTTTACTACCTGGTAGACATGTAACATACAGAAGATTCCTGAACCTGTGCTCCCTGTATGATGGGGGCTGACAGTGTTGGTGATTGCGACTCTGGAATGAGCCAGTTTGGGTGACAGCAGCTGGTACCCTGTCTACACTGTATGCATACATCGGTGTTGATTCTGAGTCTGTGTTATTACTAAAATAGACCTTTCTATGCTTTAGTGTATTGACAAAATAAATATTTTTTGTCCTGATTTGTAGTTCTTACAGTATGAAAAAGCCTTTTTTCAAGAGAGTAAATGTATTGCCAGCAATGTCCATGTAAATGGCTCTTAGGAATTGTGTGGTCAGCTGCCATTATCTCTTTTTTCCATGCCCTGTTGCATCCAAAGCTCCACTCTAGGTCAGGCGTTGTGGTGTGAGAGCCCTGCAGCTGCATTGGAGGAGCCCTGCACCAGAGACTCAATGGCTCAGGCTGCAGTTTCTCCCGGGATTCTGGCCATGGGTGCATGGAGGAAATGCCTGCACCTGGGTTGTTAATGTTGTGCTAGGCGTGAGTCTGTGATATTTTATTTTTGGACTCTCTTCCAGTCAGCTGTTGGCCATGAATATCAGTTGAAACTTGCTAAGCACTGCTCTCAAGTCGACTCGGTCCGGGGTTTTGGAGGCAAGTTTGGTGTCCAGATGGACAGAGTTGACCAGGTGAGTGATGGGCACAAGAAGTGACCCCGAGTTCTGCTGAGCACAGTGCCTTCCACCCCAGATGGTGCTGGTGCTATGTGTGTCCTTTGGGTCACTCGTAGCAGTGTGCTGGGAGGGATGTCTAGAGAAGAGCCGAGGCCTCTTCCCCTGGGGTGCTCTGAGAGGCTGAGCCAGCTGGGTGAGAAAGGGGGGTAGTAGCATGTAAAGAAAGGCCTTTCTCACATGGGCTTAGAGATCCCTGTGTTGCTGTCTACTTACCAGATGGACTGGGGTCCTTCTTTAAGTGCCCTGGGCATAGGACACCCTTAGATTTATTGCCTAAGAATGTGCCAATGGGGACCACTCCCACCCATTCCCTTCCTATATATCACTGTGGCAAGTGCTGCTCAGAGTTCTTCCTGTGGAGCCCTCCTTTTCAGGGCTGCAGGCTGGGTCCAGATGTTCTGGCAGGCTCAAGCTTGAGCCTGTTCTGATTCCCTTTGGATCAGAGCCATTAGCCCCTTCCTTCATTTTGTTTCATGGCAGGCAGAGGCCTGGATGTGGACAGGCCTCAGTCTGTGTTCCGACTTTTTGACATCCTAGCTGACTTGGAATTTCTATGCCAAGTGAAATGGGAGTCATGGTAATCCCTCACTCATGGGGCTGTGTGGGAAGCAGAGCAGATAGTGTGCCCATATGCCCACCATGGTGCCTGGCTCCTCCTGCTGCTGTTGTTATTAGTATTCATTTTGTTCTTAGGAGAGCTTATTTGAAGAATGCGTTCCTGTGTGGCATAGAGAATTGTTCGAGATGGGCAGTATGTGGCTACAATACATTAGCTGAGCCTGATGTGCAGCAGCCTTCTGGGGAGGAAGCCACGTTGCCCTGGATGTGCTTGACTGTGGTGCCTGCCAGACTGTGAAAGTGGTTTTGTTTTTTTTTTGTTTTTTTTTTTTTTTTGTGTGTGTGTTTTTACCAGCAGTACTCCCCACAGCCTTGCACACTCTAGGCAAGCACTCTACTACAGAGCTGTACTCCCTTCCCATTTATTCATGCATTCATTCATTGATTCTTTAAGAAGGCAGCATTTCATCTTCGTGCTGGCAGACTGTTGGATCTTGATACCAGGGGACTGGTGCAGGATAATTCCACAAAAGCAACACTCCTGAGTTTACAGAGAGCATAGTATACAATTTAAAAGTGGGCAATACAAAGCAAGTAACAAAATGTTACATACTTGGCTACATGCCCTGAGTTGTATTGTGACAGGTAGGCTAGCCTGGACCAGATACAAAGGAATTGTTTATCATAATATAGAAACACTCTGGGCACAAGAGGAGTGGTCCTTTACTGGGTGAGCATAGGTAAAGGCAGCCCTCTTTATCACATGTGGATTTCCACATTATCAGACTGGTTTCGGAAGCAAATTTGGTGTTCAGTTCGAGCAGCAGGACTCCTCCACTGTGGGACTCCTGATTACAAGGAAAGACTGGCCAAGCACGAATCCCACCAAGGCACAGTCCCCACCTCCTGCCTCTTCCCACACTCCCTTGCGGTGCAGCCACTTCCAGCACAGGCTTCAGAGTTCACCTCGGTGCTCTAGCAGGCTCTCCTGCTCACCAGCTGTCAGACCATTGGGCATCCTCAACCCATTGAAACTAAGTTCCCTTTTATCCCATTCTCTTTTTTCCCCCTTCTGACCTTTCAGAGGAAAGTTGGGGTAGAAATTATAGTTCACAGGTTATGAACTCTGACTTCTTTATCTGGTTTCTGGGGTGGTCTTCTAACAACCTTCTGCATGTTTGCTTGCTTTTGACCACGATTTCTTGGGTCATCCTGTCAGGCCTCTGAAGTTAGGAAAGAGAGGTTTTAGTTCCAGCACCTCTGACCCTCCCATCAGAGGGTTCGTAGCAGTGAGGGCTGAGAAATGCGTGTTCTGTGTGATTTCTGTGTTTCATTGTGGCAGTGGTGTTTTTCAGACAGGGGTGGGTAATTTTGTTTGTTCTGATTTTTTTGCCTGTGACACCACCCATGTGTAGGATCTTCACATGTAGCCACACAGTGTGTACACACAGCTGGAAAGTAACCTTTCTGGGGCCACACACTGGAATTCCAGATAGTTGACGCATATTCCTTAGAACAGTCACACTTCCCATCAAAGTTCTCCAACAGAGGCCTTGGTTACTAGAACCTGGACCCATCACTGGCTGAACGATGATATCCAGCAGTGAAGGGCAGAGTGCGGGCTTTGAGCACAGTAATAGGACCTGCGCAGTGCTCCGGTGTAGGGTGGTGAACGCACTGGGCCTGACCCTACAGACTGCATGGAGAGAGCCGTCGAGTCTCAGCGGCATTGAGACTGCATCACAGTGACTTTCATGTGGATGTGTGTTGCTGCAGCACACATATTTGGCTGGTAGAATGTCCACATGGAGTATTTTCTTTGTTTTAAAAAGCAAGAAAACAAACTGTGACTGAGCCTCTATTTAGTGTTGGGTAGAGTGGGCGAATAGGAAACAGATGAGCATAAGCCCCGTGGCTGGTGTGCAAAACTGTGCTAGTGAAGTGGCCCATCGCAAAGGCCTGTCCTTGTGCCCCCTTCTTGGCTTATTTCTTGCCAGCCTGCTGCCCGCCTCTGCCCTTTCCCCAGGAGAATGCTAGAAGCATGCCCACGCCTATCCTGCTCCCTGCCTGTGCACTGGACATTGTGGTCAGACGCAACTTGCCTGGCCCGGAAAGCCTGTGTTGTGGCGGTTCTTGGTTCTTTCTGCCAGGGTGCATTTTCTTGGGCTGTTTGAGCCCTATCTGCATGCACCTGCGATCATCTCGGACCGGGCCTGTTCTCTGCCTCAGAGTAAATCTTGTGTTTTGTCACCTCCAGACTATTCCAAAGGATTCATCGGCAAGTACAGGGTGCAGAAAGATCAGATGGATAAAGTAAGGCTGTCCAGCTCCAGGTGTGGAACTTTCTGCCCGCAGGCCCAGGGATTCCTGCAGCCCCCACTCTGTGTCAGTTGCTGATTGTAGCTACCATCAGGTAGGCACTGTGCTCGTGGTTCTGGCCATCTACCCACTCAGCTGGCATATGTCACTACGGCAGCAGTGGACTGGCTCCCAGTCGAGGTCTGAACTATCCAGTCTTGAGTGCTTGGCCATAGCATGGCAGTGAGGGAGCTGTCACTGGATCATACTGCTGTTTGAGCTTTGATTATGAATGGTAAATCAGACTGGGAATTGAGTTAATGTGAGACCATTTGTAGGGTCATCCTGCCCTTGGCTGTAGTGGTGGGTGGCATGGTGGAGCCTTAGAGCTCTGTTCCTATACAGCTTGTGGCTGACTTCACAGCCTCTCCTCGGGCACTTCCCCATGTCACCAGGGTCCATGGGAGAAACCTGGGGCACACCGCACAGGCCGAGGGGTCTGGGGAAAGGACTAGTCACAGCCCAGTTCTGAAGAGCTGGGAAGAGTTTGTTAGGAAAGTCAGGGCTAAGAGAGTGCAGAGCAGAGGGCACAGCATATGTTTCGGTGTGGGGGATTGAGGGATCACTGCAGGGCTGGAGAAGGGAGCCGCACAAACCATGTGAGATCCTCAAGTTGTTCAAGGGACTCTGGAGCCCTGGATGGGCTTAGCAGGCAGAGGACAAGAGTGGCATCTGCCCTGAGTAGCCCCTGTCTGCATCGTGGGAGATGGTCTAAGGTTGCTGTGAAGAGGTGGCCCCAGAGGCCTGAACAAGGTATTGTCTTAGGCTGGAATTGCAAGGGGACATGCATCTGATGTTGTAGATGTAAAGGTGGCAAGTGGCTGGGCTGGGGTTTGTCTTCAAGGGCCCAGGAGGAGGGAGGAGCCAAGTGGCCAGTGGGGTGACTGTGGAGCTGGAGAATTTGGATGAGCATGTGTGGTAAGTGCTTGTGATGCCTGAAGTTCGTCCAGTTTAGGGCTGCGCCTGTCTGATGGAAGTGTCAGGTCAGAGGATGCTGGGCAAGGAGGCCCCTCGAGGTGGCAGCAGGGAACTCCAGGAAGTATCTGGTGGCTGGGGCCCCTGGTTTAGGAGGACGGAAGGAGCTAATGAGTGAGAGAGTCAGAAGTTGTGGCTTTGCGGTTGGGAGTTGAGGAAGTTTCTGTCTCTTGTCTGTGGTTGATGCCAGTGGTAACCAATGACTGCTGGGCTTGTAAACGCCGTGGAAGTAAGCATGCGAGGCTGGCATTGCCTCTTGTAACCCTATGCGTGAGGCATCATGATTCCCCCTTGGAACTGTTGTGCTGTCATGGAGCCTGGTGCTTTCTAAGTGAGGCCACTGGCCAGGGCCCAGGCTTTGCTATGAGGCCGTCCTAAAAATATGATGGGTCGCTGAGGACTCGAGTCTGCAGTTGTCTCTGTGGTGATGGAGATCAATGTGAGGCCAGTGACCTTCTGTTTTGGAAATGCCCAGCCTGTCCAGTCTTGGACAAGGTTGGCTGTAATAGGCATGAGGGGATCAAGGGCAAGAGTAGTTGCTCTTGTGAATCTTGGAGCCAGGCCAGACAGGACAAGGAGGATGGAGCAAGGTTTATATGGGTAGGAAGGTGGCAAGTGCGAGAGGCTGTGGTCTGTAGGCAGTCACAGGCTGGAGTGTAGCTCAGTGGGAGGATGCCTGCGTCCCACGTATAGACTGGCTTCCCTTTCCAGCATGCAGAGCAGAGGTGGGTCTTGGTGACGGAGTCACTGTGAGGAAGGCTGAGCACAGGGATGGTGTGGGAGGTGATGTGGATGGGGAGTGGATGTGGACAGAGAGATGGCCCCTGTCTGAGCAGCAAGCCAGAGGCCTCCGCTGCAGGAAGTGGGATGAGAGGACTGGAGCCACCCTCCCAAAGCAGAGGGCAGGAACCAGGGCAGTGATCTCACTGCTACCCTGAGGCTACAGGGCAGGCAGGAGTCACCTGGACAGCTGGGCAGGGATTGTTCTAGAAAAGGTGGCAGACTGTCCAAGGTCAGTAGGTTTGGGAAAAGGGAAAGGTTTAGTCAGGAAAGCTGAGTAGCCAAAGCTTAGACTCAGCAGAGATAAGTCTAGGCCAAAGGCCCTTAAGAGCTATACAGCTAGGTCTGTTGGGCATGGCGGCTAGGAGGACAGGTGACTGCTCTGGCCAAGGCGGGAGTCCTTTGGGGTGGGCTTTTTGGCTCCCCTGTGAAAGGATAGGCACAGGGGAGGGTGGATGTGAGCCAGATTCCTTTCTGGTCTCCTTTGGGCAGCTGGAGCCATCTGTGCCTGTGCCGCAGGGAAGTGTGGTTTTGCTACCTCGAGGGGCTGCCTCTTTGGGCTGCACTCTAGTGTGCCATGTGGGGAAGCAGTGAGCATCCTGAGCTGGAGCACGGTGCTCCCATCAGCAGTGGTGCAGCTCTCAAAGGAACTGGGGAAGGTCATTAGTTTCTAAGAACCCCACCAGCCTGTGCTAGGTCCTGCGGTTTAGGGCCTGATGTCACAGCGGTTTCCCTGGGGTGTAGCTGAGAGCCCAGTTGAAATAAAGTGGTGGCATCCCAATTACAGAGCCACGTGGAACATCTGGCCAGGCAGGCCTGTGTGTCCTGAGGACCTGTCCCCACACAGCAGAGGCTTGTAGGCAGGGCGGGGGCAGGCTTGATCAGGCTTGAGCAGCACAGAGGTGGCTTGTCCCTGAGCAGATGGCTGTGACACTGACTAATGGTCAGCAGTGTGTGTGGCTGTACCTCCGTGAATCTGCAGAACACAGGGGCACAACTTAGGCTGCCTGGTCTGTTGAGGGATCTGGGGAGGCTGTAGCATTTCCGCAGGTAGGGAGGGGCAGAGGAGCACACTTCTGATTTCTTTTTCCTTCTCTGCAGAGTGCGTCGACCTTTGAAGGTGTGGCACAGGTATCGTCTGCCTACTAGAAGACTGTCCCTGTTCAAGCTGGTTAGTGTCACCCACACAGCCAAAGCGCTATTTGGTCTTCTCTGGAGGAAAGTCTAGGGAAAGTCCCAGGAGGAAAAGCAAGGTTGGAGAAACAGCCAGGAGCAGAGGGACATGTGTGACTGCCCCCATAACCCTGCCCCCTACATTGCAGGGACCCTGGAGACACAGTTAACCCCTCTTTGCTTCGGAAAGTATCTCTTACAACAGAGCCTACACCAGAGTCCCTGTGAATGGAGGTCCACTTAAAACTGGGAAGCAGAGGCCCACTTTTGTTCACTTCAGAGGAAATACCTGCCAGTAGGTGGCGTGTGCCCAGAACCCCAGCACTCTGAGAGCCTGAGGCAGGAGAATTGCAAGTTCAAGTGCTGTCTTGGCAACTCAGTGAGAACTGTCACAAGAAACATTACACAATGAAAGAGCCCTGGGCTCAAGTCTCAGTGGGGTGAGGGGGCGGGGAGAGGAGAAGAAGGAGGGGAGTGGAGCTCAGAGTTACTGTAGCTCCGCTGCAGGTGCCTTGGATCACTTCCCGATTCTGTGGTCCCAGACCACCTTGGCACTTTGAAAGTCATTGAGGACCACAGAGAGCCTCCATGGAGCTGGATGTGTTTATTGGTATGTATTCTAAATTAAAATGGAGGAAAGCTTTCAATTCATGTAAAAATAAAACTATTGTAAGTCTGCTTATTAAGTTTGCTTTTAAAAAAGTTACTGTGAGTTCCAGAATAAGAAAATTTAGGGGAATGACATCATTTTATGTTTTTCTAAATCCCATTACTAGAGGATGGTGGATTGGGGTCTCATATCTGCTCCCACATTTTGTCTGTGGCAGTGGCCAGATTGCTTCTACAGTTAAGGCAAACTGGACACAGGTGGACCAGCAGGTGGGAAGGGAGGGCCCTTGGTGACCTTGGGGTCACTATGGTGTTCTGTATTTTGCCTGGCGCGTGTGGGCCATCTTTCCTTAAAGGCTAGTTCTGCATCCTGGGAAGCTTCCCCAGAGTGACAACATCATGCTTCAGCCATTAAGAAAATAGTAGACCTACAGATTATCCTTGTTGTCCTGCGATTGATCCCTTTCATTATACTATTGAAGAAAATCACATTTGTTCTCCATCTCCCTGGTGCAGTCTTTAAGTGACAATGCTCACTCTGGCAGCTACTGATTTTCTAGAACTCTTTAGTTCTGCTTGAAAGCATTAATTTTCCTGTGGGTAACAAATACTGCTATAAGTTTTGCTGACAGAATGATTTGATTCATTTACTTTGGAGGAAGTGTCTGCCAGATCCCCAAATCTGCATAACCAGAGTTTGTCTGGCACTTGTTATCTTAGGGAAAATTATGTTCCATAAGAAAACCATTTAGCTAGTGCAGAGAGGCTGTTCTCTGAGATGCACAGGAGTGCTTTATGACTTTCCCATTTTTGCCACACGAAACACCCAAAATGCATATGTAAAGGTCAGAATCTGCTGAAAATCAATATTTTTTTAAAAGTTCTTTAACAACAATAGACTTGCATCTTTTAGTAAGGATGCCTGCTTCTTTGTTTTTTCAGCATGTGGTGGCAAATAATGTGATGATGCGCTATATAAAAGTATTCCAGCGGGGCTGTGCTGGTTCACACCAGTAATCCTAGCTACTGGGAAGCCTGAAGCAGGAGGATCAAAAGTTTGAGGCCAGTTTAGGCTACTTAATGAGACTGTCTCAACAAAGCAAATAAAAATGACTGAGGATGTAGCTCAGAGCTCTGGAGTTCACTTCCCATCATCTCAGAAAAGAATACCTGGGAAGCCAAGGTTCAGACACAAGTGCTGCTACATACAGTGTAGAGAGCTGGCCCAGTTGGCAGGCTGAGCACAGTGGGGTGGGAGAAGTGTGAGCTCTTGGTGGGGCCAACTGTTGCTGCAGAAGGTTACCCTGCTTGGGCTTTCAGCCCAGGGAAGTGTTCCGAGGTGCTGTGAGGCAGATGCCCTCTTTCCTTCCTCTACAGCGAGCCAGCAAAGCCAGCAAAATGAGCGCGAACTTTGAAAATCTCACTAAGGAGAGAGAGCAGGAGGACAGGTGGAAGCGGAGAGAGCACAGTGGATGGCCAAGGAAAGGCAGGAGCAGGAGGAGGCTCGAAGGAAGCTGGAGGTGGAGACAGAGAAGCTGGCCCAGCGCGTGAGCATGCGTGGCCAAGGGGGTGCTCGTGCTTGCGGTGGCTGCCACTTTGCTCCGCATTCCCAGAAGTTCTCAGTAGAAAGTGTTTTCCACTCAAAGAGTCAGCCACACAGGCTGGCAGGGGTCGGCCAAACCCATCTGCCAAGGTGGCCTGCCCTGACCTCTGGGGCTGGTCTGCCACTTTTCCCTGTGGTCTGCACACTTTGACTAGAAGAAGAGGTTACAGAGGCCGTGGAGGTTGGACAGAGTGCAAGGACTCTCTTTCCAGGATTTTTTGGCGGGCTTTGGCTCTGCTCTGCCACCTGCTCATCAGGACCCACGGCTGACAGCCTGGCTGGTTCTCTTGGGTAGTTGAGCAGTTGAGGCTGAAATAATGTACACGAAGCTGCTGGGCCAAGTGAGGTTCTGGATGTTTTCTCCTTACAGCAGTGCTTGGGTTCCAAGAATCCCCAGCGGGAGGAGGTCGGTGTGCAGAGGCAGGGGTGCTGGGAACGGAGGCATTAATGAACAAGACCCGATTTGCCTTAGTACAGGCAGGCACGTGATGGGAAGCAGAGGTTCGTGACAACACTGTTTTCCTGTTCTTAGTGACTAGAAACACCTAATGACCGCTCCTTCATAGTTTCTATAAAGTAAGGTGTTTGTTTGTTGTTCTTTGTCACAGAACACCTGAATGCACACAGGCACTCTTTACTTGCTGTCTCGTCTTTTTTTTCACGTAATTGGGGCCTTCCTTATTTCATGACTGGATTTTAATCTCTGTCATCTGGGACACAACAGTTTGACCTGCTTGCTTGAGAGGAGAGATTCGAGTAGGGTAGTTATTGTTTAGCCCCTTTCTTTGCAGGTTGCTTGCTGAGTCCTTTTCTGTTTACAGGCCCCCCTCCTCCCCAGGAGTGTGCTGAGTCTCAGGTGGAGCCCCTCCGTTACTTAGGAGCACCCCAGACAGGTTGGCACAGTGCGTCCTGGCAGGAGAAGCCTATGTGTCAATCCACACTGTCTGGTGGCTGCTGTTGAGGAGGCTTCTCACCCAGCTGGGTTTGGGAAGGGCTGGAAGTGTAGGCCCTTCGGCCTGCAGCTGTGTTTGTGAAGTGATCCAGTTACCCTGCAGCCTGGTGCTGAGGCTGGTGGGCCCAGTTCTGCCCTTCACGGCTGCCAGGGACTCAGGCCTTGGGTTTTGAACCTGTGTAGGATTCCAGGTGACAAATGCTTGCAGGTCAGGCTAGTCCACAGCGATGCAGAGACCTGTCAAGGACCAGGCCTGCTTTGCTTTCCAACAAAATGAGACAGTGTTTCCTTGTCCCATGGGGGAGGTGTGCCATGGGCAACTGGGGTTCAGATTATGCCTCTACGGTTCCCTGGCTGTGTGTCTTCCGCAGTCCTCCCTGGAGCATGCAGGCCATCAGTGTGTTTCCTGTGGCTGCCATTTCAGGTCACCCTCACAGAGCTTGAAACAACACATTCTTCACTTGTGGCACTCAGGAATCCCCAGAGGTGTCAGAGGGGCTGCATTCCTTTGCAGGCTCTGTGTGTCTATCCTTTTTCTGGCTTCTAGAGGCCCCTGCGTTTCTTGGCTCGTGTGACTCCAGCCTCTGCTTCCATCCTCACATGCCTTGACTGCCTGTCACACTCCTCCTTGTCTTATGAGGACCTTGTGATGACATTGGGCCCACCATGGAATCAGAGCAGGGGGCATTATTTGTCTACTGCATTGTATCCATGACGGCCAAAGATTCACACTTTCCTCCCACTCATAATATAGTCCCCTCACGTCATGGTCCCTGAGAACCTCAGTCCACTACAGTATCAACTCATCATCTGTATCACCTCGGTGAGTGAGGACTCCACAATGAGCTATAGGCCAGCGCCAGCACTGCAATTGTGCCTAGTGCCCGGTGAAGTGCATCTTCCAGGCGTGGCACCGCGAAGTGCTGCAGGCCGCCGAGGTCTTTCCTCTCAAGGTGGTCTGCTGACTGCATGACTTTCCTTTGCTACAGCAGCTCCTTCTCTAGGATGTGTGATACTGTCTGCTGTTGAATCAGGCCCATTCTTCAGGCTAAGGTACCTTCCTTTTCTGAGTTGCTGATGTCATCGAGACGGTCATGGCCTTCTGGTTGCTCTTTTTCTATTGCAGGAACAAGCCAAAGCCAAAAAGAAAACATCCACTGAGTCCCCCACTCCTCATCCAGCTGAGGAGAGGCAGCTTTCCAGCCCCATCTATGAGGTGGGTGTTTTTGTTTGGTTCCTGAAGGAGTCTTGAACCTTTTGCAGTGCCCGTGTGGATGTTTGACGTGCTGTGCTCTGTGCCCACACTGGGCTTGTGGTGTGGCAGGGTTCAGGAATGGCATCCTTGGAGTGAGGCATCCTCCCCGCTGCCCTTCCTTACCTTTCTGCACCTCCCTGCAGTCAGACTGCCAGCTGAGGAGTGGGTCACTGTCTCCCTACAGCCCTGGGTAAGTCGCTGGATGCCAAATGCTCAGTCACATTGGTTTTGTTGGTCTTCTTTCACAAGCCTGTGTGTGTTGAGCTGGCTGCACTTCTTTATGGGAACCAACCGTCATCCTCCCTTGGCACTGAGGCACCACCACCAGTGTCACTCCTGTGGCTCTGATGGTGTGTTCCCAGACACCTCCCTTCTGTGCCACATTGGTGCCTCTCACATCTTGCTTTGTCCCTCAGATGCTAAACTGCCTGACGGCTCCTGGCTCCCCCTCCACTGTGGCCCTTGTCCTGTTTCCTGTTTCCCCCATAGCCACTCTGGGCTGCACATTTACTCTTTTATCTAAATAGCACTTTGTGTCAGTGAATTGCAACTGCTGAGGACTCAAGACACAGGGAGGTTACAGACCCGTGAAAGCTATGGAGATGCACAGGGCCGGGCCTGGGTATTCCTGATCTTGCTCCCAAATCCAGAGAAAGCCAGGCCTCCCAGCAGCATCCTGCAAGTGCCATTCCTGACCACTTGCCTTGTTTTTTGTGACCCACAGAGGGCACCTGGTCAGAAACATTGGAACCAATGTTAATGTGTGCTTCAGGATGCCTGTTAGAGCTCAGAAGTCATATGTTTTTTTTTTTTTTTTAATTAAAAAAATTTTTAGTCACGCAGTTTTAAATTATAAGGTGTGTATTTTCTCTGAGTACCTTTGTCTTTGAACATGGTTCTTTTGGTGGTTCGCTTGCCTCACTCTGCGCGGAGGATTTGGTTAGAAGACAAGAAGCTGCTGGCTGGTGCTGATAGGCAGCACTGGACAGGACAGAAACCTCAGACCTAAAATACAAACAGGCTAATTTGAACTCAGGATGGAATGACTCGAGCCCTGGGGATGCAGTTTGGGGAGTGTATGGTTCCTGGTGAGGAGAGTGGACTTCAATTCCTTCAGGATTTGGGAGTGTTGGGGGTAGTAAGGACTGGGGCTCCGTGGATGAGAGGTCAGTGAGGACTTTGAACTGATGCCTTCCTGACTGGTGTCCTTTTCCTCAATCCCAGCCGAAGCTAGGAAATAAGTCCCCGTGTCTTAGGTGGCATTGACAGTGTAGCTGTAAACTTTGTAGGTGCCAGCCCAGGCCACAGGATATATCCATTTGTTCCTTTTCAGGATGCAGCCTCCTTGAACGCAGAGGTGAGCCACAGAGGTCCTTCAAGTGAAAGTGAGCCCGAGCGTGTGTACAGTGCAGAGGCCACAAACTACCTTCCCACAGGCCAGCAGTTAGCAGAGCCTGGGCTATGATCCGGAAGCCATGTAGGACACCAGCAAGGCCTCTGGCCACTACCAAGCAGGTACTGTGCCCACACTCCCATGCCCTTCCTGGGAATGGGGCTCTCTGAGAGATCCCGCCCAGCATTATTCCCCATGAAGAATGTGTTCAGGGTTCCTGTCTGCTCACACCCCCCACCCCCGAACTCTTTGTTTCCCTGTTAGAATGGCCCTAGGCACAGTGGTCTCCAGTGGCAGCAGTGGTCCTGGTAAGGTCCCTGGCATTCTGGGATACAGGGAACGTGGGGACAGGTCTGGAGTCAGGAAACGGGCTTCTGTTACTGTGGCATTTCCTCTGGACATCAAGCACCTGTCTGCTGCAGGATGACCTTAAAGGTGACACTTTCTGCAGCTTGAAGATGGTGCAGGTGTTTCACTTAGGTCAGTGTGGTGAACCTATAGCATGCCTGCTGCAGTGGGTATGCGCAGAGCCCTCTCTGTTGGCTCACAATCCAAGTCCCGCCAGAAACCCAGCATTGAATTAGGTTATTTTTGTAAACTAAAACCTCGGTATTCAGGTTTAATTACAGCATTATCACTTTGTGATACCTAAGTGGGTTTTGTGTTACAGTTTGAGTAGCTAGTTGGTCTCCAAAAGGTTTTCTGCCCCTGATCTAGGTGAACACTGCAGTTTTGCTTATTGTCCTTTAATACTGAGGTTTCCTGTAGTACGCCAGGTCCAGCACACCCCTTATCCCACATGGAGCAATGTGGTAATGTGGTCAGTATGGAGGGCAAGAGCCACTTGGGCTGAGAACACACGTGACGGGGGGGAGGCCTCTTACCTTGACAGCGTCAAAGGCATTGATTGCCCTGTCCCTTCTCTTATTCACTTCCCTGATGATGCTAGATATTTTGCATTTTAAAAGTTATACTCTCAAAATGGTCATGATACTTACCAGGAGAGCCATGTTCCCTGGGTGATGGCAGAGCTGGGAGTCCATGGACTTGCTCTTGAAAGCTGGAGTCTTCTCTTGAGTTTCCAGGAGGTGCCTCCTTTCCTCTCTCCTGCTGCCCTCAGAGTGGAGCTCACTCACTGAGATTTTTTCCTAGCAAGTGCTCCTGCCTCAAATCTTGGGAATCATTGTGTGAAAAGCAGTTACAGTGGGGAGGTACAGGTGGGGACCAGCTGCTGCTCAACTGTCCCCATTTCCTTTCAGAAGAGAACACCTATGACGAGTATGAGAACGACCTGGGCATCACAGCCATCGCACTCTAGGACTACCAGGCTGGTGAGGCGCCTGAGCAACTTCCTGCCCTTTGTTCCTGCCAACTCAGCCCCTAAGAATCTGACTTTTCCAGTGATGTTGCAGTTTCTATTTTGAAATAGTTTCAGTTACAGAAAAACTCCCAGAACAGTGACAAGGATTCTCATGTCTCAACCTGGTCCTAATTTTCTGCATGTGTTCATGTACAAACACATGCACTTAACCACTTCAATTGCATTTATTCTCAGAACCATCGGGGAGCTGCAAGGTCCCCATTGCCCCTAAAAACCCCATTTGATGTGATGGCACGTACCTGCAATCCTGGCTATTTGGGAGACCAAAACAGGGGAATGCAAATTTGAACCCCGTCTGGGTGAATTAGCAAAACCCTGTCTCAAAAGAAATAGAAGTGTTGGGGATGTAGCTCTGTGAAACGCCTGCAGGTGGCCCCCATTCCCTCCCTAGTATTTCAAAAATATAAAAACAAAACTCGAAAACTGCACTGTGCATGTCTAGGACATCCAGGGTCTCATGTGAGTACTTCCAGCACTGTCCATCCTCTGGGAGGTCACTTGTGCACATGACCCACCCCTCGGCGTTGGTCCTTTTTGGCCCTGTTCCTGGGCCGTGTCCTTCCACAGTTGGCCAGGGCCCAGCAGAGTTGGTGCTCGCATGGTAGGAAGGCCACAGATACAATTCGGTGCCTCCCTGTGCTGAGTTGTCTTTTTTTTTTTTTTTTGGTACCCAGGATCGAACTCCTGACCTTGTACTTGCCAAGCAGGTGCTTATACCACTGAGATAAATCCCAGCCCTATCCGTATGTTATTTCTGTGGCATTGGTCACTATCACCTGCCAATCCACACCACTCCAGTAGCAGTTGATGACTGCGAGGCACTATGGTGAGTCCCCCAGGTCCTGTCTTCTCTCAGCCTCACTTGGCCTTCCCTGACAGTAGCTTCCCAGTTCCTCCTCCCCGCTGAGTGGGGGCGGTCAAAGGCAGAGTGTGGCCTTTCTGCACCTGCTATTATTTATTCCCCTATCTATACATTTCTCTTGCTTTTTTTTCTTTTGAGGCAGGGTCTCTATTCATAGTTGATGCTGGCTTTAAACTCACTATGTAGCCCTTGAACTTGTGCCATGTGATCCTCCTGTCTAAGCCTCCCGACTGCTAGGATTACAGATGTGCACCACCATGCCCAGCAGCACACATGTTTCTATTTATTCTTCGATGGGTTCTCTGATATTTTGGCATCTGTACGTATGTTTGAGTTCATCCCGTGACCTGCATTCCAGCCGTCACCTGGGCTCCTTTCTAGACCCCTTCCTGTGTTCAGAACCACCCACCCTGACCACCCCTCCTACATGTCCTCGTCCCCCTGTGCCCTGTGACTGGTGCCACCCTTTCCTCGCTCCCCCCAGTGAAGGTGGGAAGGAAGGCGAGTTCCCACCCATCCTGGCCATTTCGCAAAAACAGTGTCTGGCCAGCGTGGGTGTTTTTGGAAGACGCCGCTCACATTTGTGCATCCCAGCCTTACACGGGCTGTGGCTGCCTCCTTCTTCTTGCTGCATGCTCCTCCCAGCCCCCCTGGAAATGTTTTCCATTTGTGTCTCTCTCTTTGCTTTTTTCCCAGCGCGTGGTGACGAAATCTCCTTTGACCCTGATGACATCATCAGCAACATAGAAATGATGCATGAGGAAGGCTGGCAGCGCAGCGTGTGCAAGCGCCTGTACGGGCTCTTCCCGGCCAACTATGTGGAGATGTGGCAGTAGGCGGCCCGCCTGCCCTGCGGGCCTGTACAGAATCACACTTCAGATCATGCCTTTGCTGGTTTGGGGTTTTGGGTTTGTATTTTTTGTTCTGTTTTCTGAGGGTGAGGAGGGAAATATACATATTGATTTTATATTTAATACTTCTACTGATGCTTTTGAAAATGTTGATGCCACAGAATGTGCTAATAAATTGTAATCATGTTCCCTAGGAGGACTTTGTTGATTGTTTTTGAACTTTTTTTTTCTTTTTTCTTGCCAAATTGCCTTGTCATGTGTAGCCACTTCAGGTACCTGTGGCTCTCCTGAGGTCAGCAGTGCATGTTGTCTGTATGTTTGTCATGACTGTTGGGTCTCCCAGGACTGATGTCCATGTCTGCAGCTCTGGGAGTGACTGACTACATAAGCTCTGTGGGGCAGCAGTGTTCGGAAGTGGAGGGAAGACCCGGGTCAAGAGTAAGACTGGTGGGAACCCCTGGAGGGGTGCTGGCTCCCCTGTCAGGTGGGACACCCCCACATCTCATCCCATGTGACCCAAGGTTGTGCGAGGCTTTCTCCTGTGCCCCTGTCTTATCCCTATCTCCATGGCTCTCCTGACCCCTGACTCCTGCCCTGCTAGGTGTCACCACGTCCTTCCACTGTTCCCTCACTGCTTGTCTTACACACTGGCCCACAGTGAAGGGCCCTGGGCTTAGAGGTGAGCTTAAAGCTAGTGTTGGGCCTGGGTGCCACCCAGGGCTGCTCCCATGGCTGTCTGCTCATGCAGGGGGGGGTGACATGTGTGGCTGGATGGCCCCCAGTTGGGGGAGGCAGGTACCTTGCTGTGGACTGCCAGAAGGACGCCCTCATCGGGGTTGTGCATTTTGCCAAAATCTCGTGTTTAGTTATTAAAATGTGATTGAGTTGGCTAAAATACGACTGGGAACAAGCAAGTGTTCCTTCCCGTTGTGCCACGGTGGTCTCTTTAAGCCACTCTGTCCATACTGCCTGCTACTTGCAGGGGGAATACCTGTCCTTCCTGAGACACCAGGGCCAGTCTTGTTGGTGCACATGATTGGGGGACAGATCCACGGAAATGTTATGACTGTTGGGGACACTTGGCGGTCCTGATGTGCATGTTTTCTCTCTGGAAGTGATTTCTGCAGTCTTGCTTTTCCCGCTATTAGGTTGGGTTTTACATACAACTTACTGTATCCGGATTTCTGTAGTATACCTCATACGTATGATTTTTTTAAAATCAAATATTCCGAATAAACCTTTTTTTTTCTTTTTTTTTTTACCTGATTTGCTGTGTGATTTGCTTTGATACTTGGTCACTTTGTTCTGCAGTTGAAAGTGCCTTTGTGGGTGTCAGTGTCCTGCATTCCGTGAGAGACCTGGCCTGGACCACCCTCCAGCCAATGTGCCATCCTGCTGCTTCTCAGGTGAAGCAAAGTCCCCTTCTCAAGGGCACGTTTTATCACCTGAAATGCACCCTCAAATCTTTATTTGAAGGAAGTCTCCAATCAGAACAGAAAATGCCATATTTAGCAATCACTTCTGAGCTGCAGCTCTCAAAATGAATCCTTCAGTGGTTGCCGTGTAGTCAGAGGCATTAGTTTCCTTCAGCTCACACACCTCAGGGCCTGAAGGAAGTGCTGAGCCTGGGCAGAGGAGCTGGTGTCTGCAGCAAGGGCCTGGCTCCTGGACCTGCCCTGGGCTCTGGCCAGTCTGCTTTAAAAGGAACAATCATGGATGAGGGACTAGCCACCTCTTTGGAAACCCCCAGGGCAGTGGCAAGGGAGCTGGTGCTCCCTCCAAGGTGGACAGGCAGACCTTCCTTCCTGGGCAGCTCCCAGACCCAGTGCCAGCACAAGAGGGCTTTGAACCTTTGGGAAAAGGCACTCTGTTATACCTGGAAGCAAGGGAAGCACAATGCAAATCATAGCTGTGCAACGCTTTTATGTTCGTGTCGTTTGCAGGAGCTGAGAGTAGCTTACTGCAGCCATAGTCCTGGTGTAGGGACAGGCCCTGAACCCTGAGCTTTGGGCACTGTCCTTGCTGTCTGGTGAGGTCCCTTGACTCTTCCTGCCAGCAGGAGCCAGGAGCAGGGCTTGAAAACCTGGTTCCACTCATACCTTGCCTGCTGGGCCCTCCTGTGGAAGCCCAGCTGAAAAGCCCCTCCAGCCTCTGAGCTGGCAGCAGCATCCCCAGTGCCCTGCCTTGCCTCCACCTTGATAGCAGAACTTTGCCAGTGTTGCTTGTGTGATACAATCCTGAGAGTCCATCTCTCCTCCCACAAAAAATTTGGTGCATCAAGGGGTCCCCAGTGTGGAAACTCTCATGTATGACTATAGTTTGGGGGTGGGAGAAGGGAACTGTCTACCAGTGAAGCTGCTGCTACCTGTTGGAGAGGGTGGGCAGATCTTGAACTCGGGTGTGACATGATACGGGATATATGGTAACAGTGTTTCCATTGCCCACTGTTTACCCATTTGCTCTGTGACCATAGATGTGGCAGGGGCCTTGCAGACCCAGGACACAAAGTGGACAGGTCCCTTTCCATTTTGTTGAGTCATACATCTGTAATTCTTAAGTTTGATCTCAAGGACCCCTTTAGTCTGAGGAACAACTCGGGACTGGGTTTCTGGGCCCCTTTGTGCTCTCAGCCACCGGAAGCTGGAGGTCAGAGGTTAGCAGGCTTTTCTCTGTTGAGGCCCAGCCATGAGGAGTGATTTCATGGTATGGAGGCAGCAAGGGTCTCTGGGAAGCACTGCAGTTTCTGATGGCCACTTTGGGCAGCTCTGAAGTGCACACAGAGAAGGAAAACTGAGAGCAGGTGAAACTTCTTGTCTTGTGTGTGGAAGATACTTTTGCTGGTCCTTGTTCAACCAAAGATGTCCAGAAAGGGACTGCATGGGAGTTAACGGAGCATGTCCCGGGTGCTGTCCCTGCATGTGGAATGACTGGTGAGGGAGGGCTCTGGTGGGGAACAGCTGGTTCCACCTTCATTATTACCTCCAGCTACAGATTGTGTAACCAAGAAGAGAACACAGGTGCCCCAGAGCTGTGCCCTGTGCTCTTGCACCCTGCAGACGCTGGTAGAGTGGGCAGGTGCTTTGCCTCCTACACTGGCTTGCAGATATTCAGCTTCTTTATCTGAGGAGGATTAAAAACAGCCACCTCAACTAGCTGAAGTGGCACACTCTTGAAGCTGAGACAGGAGAATTGCTGAAAGTTTGAGGCCAGCCTGAACTAGATAATGAGTCCTCGTCTTCCAAAAACCAAAAGACAAGACAGCTCTCTCTCTCTAGTCAGGTGCTTGCTAGAAGCATTTCACATGCTCAAGTGCCAGGACACACCTTCCCAGCTGGATGGGCCAGGCACAGTGTCACATGCCTTTGGTCTCAGCACTTTGAGGCTTGCCTGAGCCCAGACAATCCAGGCCAGTCTAGGCAACATAACAAGACCCAGCTCAAAGCAACAACTGCATGGAATGATTTGAGCATGTATTGCAATGTGATACAGTGATACATTGAGTAACTGGCTTTTCTGGAGACACCAAGATTCCTTCAGGTCCTTGCTTCCATCCAGTGTTGTGAATTCTGTTTTTTCTTCTTTCTTCTGACATTTTCTGCCACGGAAACAGCCCCCTTGCTTTTGATTATGATTGTGAAGGTGACGCCATGTAAGGAATATAGTCATTCAAGTACAGTAAACACAGGCTGCGTGGCGAGGTTGTTTTTCCCCCAACATTATCATTGTTACAATAGTGCTTATTCAATGAACATTTAAAAATTCCATGAGCCAGACAGCTCAGTTGTCATTTCTGCTCTGTAAGATTTCCCATAAACAAGCCATCTAGATTTAATGTGGTTAATTTCTCTGTTAATGAAACTTCCTCCTAGTAAATAAGGAAATCCCACCTCTCAGGTGCACTGTGAGACTCAGTAGGCCCAGGGCGCTTTTCCAGGCAGAACAGTGACTTCCCACAGAAGCCCACCTTGTCATCCCCGGGATTTGTGAGAATGTCCTGTCTGGCACGGGAGAATTCGGTTGCAGATGGAAGCAGGAAGAGGGCGCTGAGGAATCAGTGGTTAAGGGGGCAGAGCTTCAGTGTGGGAAGATGAGGACATTCTGGAGGTGGACGTGGGGACAGCTGGTCAGTAGTGTGAGCATACCTAATGCCCCCGACCTGTGCACCTGAACATGGTTCAGATGGGAAGTTTTGTGTGTGTTTTACCATAACGAAAATATATCTTGTTGTCTGTTTGCTTTTTGAGACAGGGTCTTTTTCATAGCTCAGGCTGGCCTTGAACTTCTATGTAGCTAGCCCAGGCTGACCTTCACCTTGCAGCAATCCTCCTGCCTCAGCTAGAATTATAGATGTATGCTGCCACACCCTGCTGAAAACAAACTTGTCCAACAGAGATTAGAAATTTCTGAGTCGACCCAGCATAATCAAAGGGGTCTTCAAGAGGCAAAGGGAGGGGCCTGGGGATTTAGCTCAGCGGCATAAGCACCTGCCTTGCAAGCAGGCAGTCGTGAGTTCGATCCCCAGTACCGATAAAAATGAAAAAGAAGCAAAGGGAGGCTAAGAGCTCAGAGTCACCGTGGTGGGATGGGAGAGGACCTTGACTGTTACTGCCAGCTCTGAAGTTGAGGAAAGTGGGCAGAATCCACAAGTCCCTCCAGAAACTGGAGGCAGGAGGAAGTGGATTTTCCACTGGACCTGCAGAAAGGAAGGCAGCCTGGCCATACCATGTCTTTAGCTCAGGAAGACCCTTGCCAGATCCAGACCTACAAAACTGAAGGGACACTGTTTCTTTAGGTTATCAAGCTTGTGGTGTCACCAGAGTCTCCACAGACCATCCAGTCTTCATTACTTGGTGGTTGGCATGGTCTGTGTCTGACCACAGAGTCCCTTTCTCCACTAGGTGACTGCTGGGTGCCCAGAAGGTGCTTTGCTTGATAAATGATGCAAACCTGATGGCATGAAGAATCAAGGGACCCACGTTTGGTGATTTCTCCATGTGATGTTTCCTCCCACTTTTCTGTGGTGCAGGATACAGAACCAGGACCCTCACACACGCTCTAGTCAGGCACCCTGACACTGAGACACACTCCCAGACTCCCCTCCTCAAGTTTTAATTGGCAGGATCAAAATTTGTCTATATTTATGATTGGTAACATGCTACTTGTTTTTGTTCCTTGGATTTTTGAGACACTTTTGCTCTGTAGTTCAGGCTGTCCTTGAACCCACAGCATTCTTGCTTCAGCCTCCCACGAGCTGGGAACAGCGGTGTGTGCCACGTCACCCAGTCTGTCACATATTTTGATATGTGTACACACTGCAGAACAGCTAAACTGAGCTAATTCACGTGTGTTATCGCTTGGGGTTATTTTTTCTTCGTGATGACAACTCTTTTTTTTTTTTTTTGTCTTTTTCCTTTTTATCGGTACCGGGGATCGAACTCACGACTGCCTGCTTGCAAAGCAGGCGCTTATGCCGCTGAGCTAAACCCCCAGCCCCCGAGTGATGACAACTCTTAAGTCAACTGAACCCTTTTTGCTTTTTAAGAATGGTTTTTGTTTTATATCGCAATGTTTAAAAAGACTGCGCGCGGGGGGCTGGGGATTTAGCTCAGCGGCATAAGTACGTGCTTGCAAGCAGGCGGTCGTGAGTTCAATCCCTGGTACCGATAAAAATGAAAAAGACAAAAAAAAAAAAAAAAAAAAAAAAAAGACTGCGCGCAAGGTAAGGAGCGGGAGACTGAGGCAGGAAGGTTGGAGCTGGCCAGGGGCCACCCGCCAAATGTCACCCGGGGGTGCGCGTGGGCGGGGGCAAAGCTTCAGCGCTTGGCTGGCGGTTGGTCCTGCGCTGGCGGTTGGTCCTGCTCGCGGCTAGCAGGACCCCCTAGGTCTCGAGGGACGGATTCTAAACCACTGCACGTTGCCCAGGAGACCCCAGTGATGGCACTGTGGACTCGCCTGTATGGCCGCGTCCTGGAAAGCTCTAAGGTAAGTGGGGCCAGAACTTGTACAGCACCCGGTGAGGTGCTAGAAATCATCGTGGTCAGGTGTGCGGTCGCGGGGATCTCTTGCTGGAGGGTCGCACCTGCCTGGGGTACTACCTGGAAGTCTTCAGCGATCCCTGTCGCCCTCATTAGGCCCGTCTGTCTATGTGACACACTTAATAGCCTCTCATGATCGTACCTCTCACCTTTCCTTCCTAACCATTCTCCACTGTACTGAACTGCTGTATTTCCATTGTGAAGCCTTCTTTTTTTTTTTTTTTTTTTTTTTTTTTTTGTCTTTTTCCTTTTTATCGGTACCGGGGATCGAACTCACGACTGCCTGCTTGCAAAGCAGGCGCTTATGCCGCTGAGCTAAACCCCCAGCCCCCGAGTGATGACAACTCTTAAGTCAACTGAACCCTTTTTGCTTTTTAAGAATGGTTTTTGTTTTATATCGCAATGTTTAAAAAGACTGCGCGCGGGGGGCTGGGGATTTAGCTCAGCGGCATAAGTACGTGCTTGCAAGCAGGCGGTCGTGAGTTCAATCCCTGGTACCGATAAAAATGAAAAAGACAAAAAAAAAAAAAAAAAAAAAAAAAAGACTGCGCGCAAGGTAAGGAGCGGGAGACTGAGGCAGGAAGGTTGGAGCTGGCCAGGGGCCACCCGCCAAATGTCACCCGGGGGTGCGCGTGGGCGGGGGCAAAGCTTCAGCGCTTGGCTGGCGGTTGGTCCTGCGCTGGCGGTTGGTCCTGCTCGCGGCTAGCAGGACCCCCTAGGTCTCGAGGGACGGATTCTAAACCACTGCACGTTGCCCAGGAGACCCCAGTGATGGCACTGTGGACTCGCCTGTATGGCCGCGTCCTGGAAAGCTCTAAGGTAAGTGGGGCCAGAACTTGTACAGCACCCGGTGAGGTGCTAGAAATCATCGTGGTCAGGTGTGCGGTCGCGGGGATCTCTTGCTGGAGGGTCGCACCTGCCTGGGGTACTACCTGGAAGTCTTCAGCGATCCCTGTCGCCCTCATTAGGCCCGTCTGTCTATGTGACACACTTAATAGCCTCTCATGATCGTACCTCTCACCTTTCCTTCCTAACCATTCTCCACTGTACTGAACTGCTGTATTTCCATTGTGAAGCCTTCTTTTTTTTTTTTTTTTTTTTTTTAGCTGTAAACTTAAGTTAGGTTGACTGAACAACCACTGCAGTCCTTGAAAAACATCTCTCTTGAGCCATAGCAAATCCAATTCCTTTCTGTGTTCACTAAATTAAGCCCAAGAATTCAGGCAGGCCTTCCCAGGAGCTGACTGCACACAGTCAATAAGATGTAAGATGTAAGATGCCTGTTGGATTTTGTACTTGTCAGTTTTCCTGGCTGTATACTGCTTCTGTGCTTTTCCTGAAAAAGGATTGAGTGGAATGGGCCCCTACCAGGAAATAGAAAAAAACTAGGTAACAGAAGCGCACTTGTTTTCAAAACTAAAAAGTTTGCTTTTGCAAACAAAACCTCACATGGTTTGCTCTATTCTTTATAGGAGAAATAAGTAGCTCTCTTTGGGCCTTACATCTTCCCAGCGTTGTTGTCTTCTTTAGTGTCTTCATGTGGTGGCTTTCTGCATTTAATGGGTGCCTGGGTGTATCTTCACAGAGTATTTGCATCCAAAGAATAACAGATCTGTGAATAAAGAGATTGTCAGCTTTCCTTTATTAGCTACAGATACTCATAAAGTTGTAGATTTGTGGGAACCTGTATTTTCCGTATAATGACTAGTCCTGTGTTTTTGTTCCAAAATGATGTGTGAGGTGATGCCCACCATCAGTGAAGAAGGCCCTTCAGGAGGAAGTGAAAACCATGGATCTGGCTGCCCTTCACAACCAGATGCAGATTCCCATTTTGAACAGCACATGATGTCCATGCTAGAAGAAACAGACATTGCTCAGAGCACACTGATAGAGACTCAAGAAACATTGGCGTTGACCCAGGGGAAATTACTCGAGGTTGGTCATGAGAGAGATTCGTTGCAGAGACAACTCAATACTGCGCTTCCACAGGTATGTGTGGTTTTCACCTGAAACTACAGGTTTTTTCTGTTACGTGTCTTTCTGTGGTACCATCTTTTGTTTTTGTACCTGTATATTTTGTGTAACCAACCACTTGTCAAATGATAGTTCCTAGTGTTTGTAAGCGCATGCAGAGTTCCTGGAGATTCAGCTACTTAGGGCAAACAAACTAGTGTTCTGTAAAGTCATGTGAAAATATCTTACTACTTTCACTCTTCGCTGAGGAACTGCTAAAGATTTGGGAATGCACTTTGAAGGTTTTTTAAAAAGACTTGAAACAACAACCAAGCGGCATGGTCCTTGGTTTCTTTGATTCTGTTTTGTGAGATCTCTTGCTTAATGTAGGCTTCCCATGGCTTGTATCTCAGGAATTGTATGTGTGTTTAGGATTGTATCTCAAGGATTTGCAGTTTTCTAATGAAATTTAGTAGATAATAATTTTTTTTTTGTTTTTGGTATCAGGAATCGAACTGAGGACCTTGCTCTTGCCAAGCAGATGCTTGTTGCTGCTGAGATATTATCTCTAGCCCTTGAAATTTGGTAGACAAGGATTGATTTCACAGAGAAAAATTTTTACAGACGATCTTTACAGAATACCGGTGTTTGTAAATCACATTTGTAATATGGGATAGAAAACTGGAAATTTATTCTTTAGGAACTTTCTCCTTTTAGACTAGACTTCTAAGTTTAAAACAACTGGGCTGGGGATTTAGTTCAGCAGCATAAGCTTCTGCCTGGCAAGCATAAAGTCATGAGTTTGATCCCCAGTACCAAAAACAAATATATAAAAGTAAAAACCACCTCAAAGTTGGAAACAACTGTAGTTCTTTCTTTAATTATATTACATTCAGCCCAGTATCTCAAAACTGCCTCTTGTGGAATTAAATGGAGACTGAATGGCATGCGAAGGGAGAACATAGTAAAACTAGAAAAATGTAAGGTAAATGGTACACAGCATAGTGGGAGATAAGTAGCTTATTATTTAGGTGTTTATAAGCCATCGAGTACCATTTTACTTGTTCATAATAGTTGCCTTTCTGGTCCATTCAGGTAGACCTGAATAAGCATACATCTATGCTGTCATGATGAGCCTGCAGTGATAAATCGGCAAATGAACACTAGCCCTAATGTATTTGTTGGCTATAGTCAATTCTCCTGAAAGATTAATAAGCCAAGCATTTGAATTTCCTTTTTAGAAACAATAATTTGATGTTAGTGCTATATGTTTCTTTTGTTGGTTAGAAAATCAGTAAATTGTTTGCTTTTGTGGAGCATAGGGTTGAAGGAGGGCTTCATTTGTGTTTGCCTAAGTGCTCTGTCACTGAGCTCCATCCCTCCTAGTCACATTAAGATTTTTCTCATTGGAATCTTATAAATGTCAGAGTTTATTTAGGTCAGATTTTACTATAGAAGATTATAAGAACTGGCCAACTTGTATTTGTGTAGGGAGGTAATGGGGAGCAGTTTATGTGAAGGATTTTATAGTATATACAGGTATTTGTAAATTTGTGATGGTTTAGTTTTGTTTTTGTAATATATTGACTATAATTTGAGATATATCTACAGTTTATCTAATACATAGTTAATCTATTCAGTTTTTGGAAAAAACAGGCAGGCAGGACCTGAGAGGGAAGTGACAGGAGTTTTGTAGAGTTGGTTTCAGGCAGTGGGTGTTGTCACACCTGCTGATGAGGTGGTTGCCTGGTGATTTGTTTCTGGGGGGTTCTCAGTGTAGCAGCCTGGAAATGCTTAGTTTAGTGCATAATGTGATGATGCCACCAGGTCCCGTCACCATCTGAGCACCTGATGCAGCATTTCAGAAACACAGAAACCATGAAACAAACTTATTTTGGTCCTTTTCCTTTCCTGGAATCAGGCTCATCTTTGGTAGTTGTTTGACTAGAGAGGCCTGTCAAGTAAGTGCCCGGTGTACTTTTGGCACATTAGGTAGGCAGGTCAGAATGTGCCCTACTTCTAAAAATTGAAGTAAAAGGCTGGGCATGGTAGTGCATTCCTGGAATCTTCAACCCTTAGGGAGGCCAAGGCAGGAGGATCAAAAATTTGAGCCCAGCCTGAGAAACTTAGCAGTTGTCTTAAATAAAAAATAAAAAGAGAACAGAGAATGCTCCTCAGAATGAAGGCCCCCAACTATAGCAAATATCAGAAATCTTCTCAGCGAATTTTCCATAGAGCCAACACACTTGAGAAACAGTTCCTACATCAAAATGAAACACTGGAAGCCCCTGCCTAGTTTCCAGTACAGGTGTTTCTCATTTAATTACCTGCTTAACAACTGTTTGGACTTCCCTGCTGCTCAGACTTATGCCTCCTCTTTTTTTGTTTTTTGTAAAGTTCTGCACATCTGGTTCAGAGACTCTCAATGGTTTTTTTTTTTTTTTTTTTTTTTTAGTTTGTAATGTTTATACAGTACTATACTTTTTCTGATGGTACTCTATGGTACTGTAGTTTCATGTTCTGTTGTACATTATATACTGCATAGAAGTTGTGCAAATAAAGGCAAAGTCATCAAGTTGGAGTTTCCTTTGACCATTTCTTTGTGCTGAGTGTTGTAATGTATGTACTATATACAGCTCCTCATTTAGCAACTAATTCTTTTAACGCTGTACTGACAGGAATAGGACTTGGTGGTTAAATGAGGAATCCTTGTACCTTTCCTCCAATTCTAACATTGGTCTTGATCTCTCACCATTGATTATTTTTGCTTCTTCTTGACTAAATGAAGTAAAATAGTACCTATATTGTGTTTCTTGGTTGTTTCATTGTTCATGAGATTTACCTGTGTCCTATATTTTTTGCCTATTCTCATCTGTTGTCTGGTAATCCAGCATACCAATATATCAAAATTTGTTCTTTTCTATTCATGAACATTCAGGTTGATTCCAGTTTTTATCAATTCTATCCTGAGTATTCTTGTGTATTATTTCTTTTGTGTATGAGAGTGAAGCTATGGCTGAGCATGGCGGCATATGCCTATAAACTCAGCAGGGCAGAATGTTGAGGCAAGAAGACTGCGAGTTTGCGCCCCTCTTGGGCTTTATACTGAGAACCTGTCTTTTTTGGGGGGCGAGGTAATGGGACTTGAACTCAGGACGTTGTGTTGCCAAACAGGAGTTGTGCCACTAAGCTATATCCCTGGCCCTCGGATCCTTTAAAAAAAAAAAAAAAAAAGCAGAGAACTGTGGAGTGATAGATATCCCATGCATTTGTTCAGCCTTAAGAGATATTGCTAAAAGTGGCATTGTACTGACACCAACAGCATGTGAGAAGTCAGTGCGCATATCATCTTTACCCCTGACACTGTTCATTCTTTTTTTTTTTTTTTTAAACTGGTACCAGGGCTCGAACTCATGACCACCTGCTTCAAGGCAGGCACTTATGCTGCTGAGCTAAATCCCCAGCCCCCATTGTTTATTCTTTTATGTTAGCTTTTCTGGTGCCTATTTAATGGGAGAGGTGACTTAGTGAGAGAGGTACCAGAGATCGAACTCACGACTACCTGCTTGCAAGGCAGGTGCTTTTGCCACTGAGCTAAACGCCCAGCCCCTTATCGTGTATTTCATGTATTTCTTTAGCATTGCTACTTCTTCATCTGAGAAGGGTCTGTTCATTTTTGATGCCCATTTTTTGAATTTGGGGGTGGTTCTGTATTTTTGAGCTCCTTATATATTTTAGGCATTAATCCTTTGTCTGAGGAACAGCTGGCAAAAATGTTTTACCATCGCGTGGGTTGTCTCTTCACTCTCTTGGTAGTTTCTCTTGCTTTTCAAAAGATTTTGAATAAGATGCAGTCCAAGTTGTTGATTATTTCTGATAGAAGCTTTGCAATTGGGGTTTTTTTCCATGAGATCTTTGCCTATACCAAAGTCTTCAGTTCTACCTGTCTTCCAGCAGATTGGAGTTGTTTCTATTTTCATATTGAAGTCTTTGAGCTATTTGGATTTTAGCTTAATGCCTGGGAAGGGATATGGGTCTAGTTGTAATCTTTGGCATGTGGAAAGCCAGTTTTTTCCAGCACCATTTCTTAAAGAAGCTATCTTTCTTCCAGTGAGTATGTTTGGCTCCTTTGTCAAAGATAAGATGATTGAGTATGCTGGAGTTGTTTCTGCATCTTAAAATCTGTTCCATTGATCCTTGAGTCTGGTTGTTTTGTTTTGTTTTGTTTTGCCAGTTTTTATCACAATAACTTTGTAGTATAATTTGCAGTCAAGGATTGATTGGATTCCTTTCTGGTTTTGGTATCAGGATAATACATGCTTCCAGGAATGAATTTGGGAGTATGGCTTCTCTTTCAATTTCTTAAAAGAGACTGAAGTAGTAGTATTAGGTTTTCTCTAAATTTCTTGTGGTGTTCAGCAGTGAATCTGTCAGGGGCTAGGGTTTTCTTTATTGATGGGTTTTTAATTACATCTTCACTTTCACTGACAGATACTGATTTATTTAGAATTTTTATACCTTCTTGATTCAGCTGTGGTAATTCATATGTAACTAGGAATCTGTCTATTTCTTCTTTGTTTTCTATCTTACAATACACATTCTCAAAGTAGGTTTGGTTTTGAGGATCTTCTGAATATCTGTAGGGCTTCTTGTGATTTCCACCTTTTGATTCCCAATTGTATGTGTTTGGGTCTTTTTTGTTTTTAATAAGGTTGGCTGAGAGTTTGTCAAGTTCATTTAATGTAACACAGAACTCTTTGTTTCATTGATTCTTTGTATTATTTTGTTAGTCTCCATTGCTTTAACTTCTGCTCTGTTCTCTATAACATCCTCCTTTTTACAAGCTTTAGGCATGACCTGCCCTTGATCTAAAAGCTTGAGGTTCAACAGTAGGTTATTTGAGCTTGCTCTGTTTTTCAGCTATGGGTATTCAGTGCTGTAAATTTCCCTCCTAGGACTGCTTTCATTGTGTTCCTTATGTTCTGTTACAATGTATTGGCATTATCATTTAATTATAGATACTATTTAATTTCATC